GTGTAAAGTTGCTAATCCTCTTTGCCAAGGAGTTCTTTGTTCTTAAAAGCAATGGAATTTAATTTGCTACAGACCATGCTCAGATTTATTTGTAATGCTTGTCTACAAGTTAATCAGGCAAACAAGTGCTGTCTGCAACTGTTTGGCATTTAATTTAAATTTTTTCTTTTCTCTTTTTTTTTTTTTTTTTAACTATGGTAAGCAGCTTATGGGAAATGGTAGGTGACAAACCTGGCCTATTTAGGATTAGTATATTTTATCTAGGCTTTACTGAAATTTTTCTTACTGGAATTGATAAGTCAAAGGACAACTGTAAAGTCTGTCCAAACAGTGATTAATTTCACTATTAAACATTCTTTGTCCAGTAAGAAAATAAAATATTCCACAGAAGACAGACCCATCACCATCACTTTAAGAAAAATCATTTCATGTGATTAAAATTGTTAACTTATAAATATATGTAATTAAGTTTGCCTCAGATCATACTTTGCTTTTCCTCTTTGTCTTTTTGCAAAAATGGCCCCATGGTGGGCAGAATGCACACTTGTCATTTGGCCTTTGTAGTTGTGTATTGATGACTGCTTATCATGAAATCAAAAATGTAGGCATAACCCAGAAAATGATTGTTTCTCCTGTTGTTTTTCAAAGAAGAGGAAATTTTGTATGGGAAAAGAGAACTGTGACATTAATTCATAACTTCTCTTTCTCATTTACGACTCAGTCTAGCCACCAGTCAGGATAGTGGGATGTACCGTCTTAGGTGCTTAGGTAGCTCAAATAGTTTGTATTTTGTAGAAAATGGCATAGACTCTTCTGTTGAAAGTACACAGAGAATCTGAACATTAGGGGAGCTGTCTGCCTGTTGAGTTCTGCTGCTTTGTATGTATGGTATTGGTATTAGCAGGCCACTGATCGGAGTAGAAATGAAACTCAGGGTTTTAGATAATAGCAACGAGAGGTTCTTCCAGAAGAAAGTGTGCATGGCTCATGTAATAAGCAAGGCTTAATAATTGAGCCAAAGTCATTAGAGTGTGTTCTCCTTTTCCATCTACTTGTTCATGTGGTGATGACAAGTTAATAAACCTTTGTAAGCTTCCCCATCTATAAAAGGGAATACATCTCACTTTAAGATTCAATCACATAATTGTATGTAAAGCAGCTTGCATGTTTCCTGGATTATGATAAGTGATCACTGATATTAATTCTCTTTGCCCCTTGAAGGTGTAGGGATAGTGTTGTCTTTTACCATTCATCATTCACAGTGTGATGCTTAGCATCAGATACATGCTTGTCACATAAATAGGCAAACGAAGATCACCTCTTATTTCTCTATTTTTTTTTTTTAAATTGGGACGTTGTTTGTCTTTGCTATAGGGTTCATGAGCTCACCAGAGAGAAGGCAAGCTCATCTATCTCCATTTTATTTTTGGGATTTTGTGTGTGCACACACTTCTTTTTTAAAAAAAAAAGTTATTTAATTTTATTTACTATTATTACTATTTAATTGGACTGGAGAGAGAGGTGGGGAGAGAGAGAGAAAGATAAAAGGAAAGTGAGAAAACAAGCCGCCTGGTCTGGGACTCAAAGCAGGGTTGGCCTTATGGGAGTCCAGTGTCTCAACCACCATGCCACCTGCTGGCCCTCCAGCATGTTTTTCAAGCCACTGGGTCTGGAACTCAAACCACACAGTCAACCCTGTGGGTGGGATCCAGCTGCTTTATCCATCATGCTGCCTGACTGGTCTGGCTCTTAATTATTTTAGAACTTTGCCATTCTGCAACATATAGGAATGGCTGTCTGCTGATGACAGAATTATCATCAAATGGCTGTGTACAAAATTGTTGAAAGGGTAAAGCGTAGCTTTATAGAAACACTACAATGCCCTAGGGTGGGATAGCAAGTTGTATCATATAGGAGAGTATACTGGAGCACGTTTTTGGGATATGTTTATGGTTAGTTGGAGGTGAATTAAGGTGGAAACTTGCTTTTTTCACCATTAAAATTTAAGACCTAGAATTTTCTTTTATGGCTTTCTAAGGATAATTTAAAATATGAAAAGTAAGAAAAATTAATAAATGAGGGCCATATGAGCATATGAAGAATACTAAAAGTATTGAGCAACATTTTTATCATTTCCATACTTTGAGTATATTTACTACATTTGAATTTCCAAAGCTGCTTCATATTTGAAGCACTATGGGAGATAATAAAATATGCTCATGTTAGGCCCTCCTGCAGTGGTGCAGGTGGTAGAGCACTGCTGCATGATACCATAGTCTACAGAAGGCTCTGGGTTCAGATCCTGGGTTGACCTTAATACGCCTGGTGCACACACAGGTGATCCTGACTTGCTGGGAGGCTAAGGAGAGGATTGTTGTATGGCAAGAGCCTGCCAAGGGCCCTTGTCTCTGTCTCTCTTAATCTCTCTCTCTTTTTTTAAAGAATTACTTTCTTAATTGTATTTATTCATTCGTTTATTTTAATTTGACCAGAGAGAGAGAGAGAAAGAGAGAGCGGAAGCAAGAAAGCAAGCCACCAGATTCAGAACTTGAACCGTGGTTAGCCATGTGGGAGTGTCCAGCCCCTTAACCACCACGCCACCTGCTGGTCCCTCTCTTAATGTCTTAAGCAACTTTTAAAAACATGCTTACATTAAGTGAAGAAAGATGCAGGCAAAATTCAGTATATAAACATGACCTGTTTTATTTTTAACAAGACTCTGTACACATGTGTCATGTATTTTCTCCTAATATATTGAACATAGTCTTTCATTTTTATATGTAGATTATTGCAGAGGGGTGGAATTTTAAAATAGTCTTTTAAAACAGTCTTATGTCTTCCCTGATATATTTATGTATATATTTCTTTTAAGTTTTATTTCTTCCATGAGTGAGAGAAAGAGTCAGCACACCAACAGGGCTCGGCTGTACAGTCCACCCAGCCAGTCCCGAATCACAGGCATGCACGTGTCTTATGTACTCAGGGAGGTCTCAGATTTGAACCAGGAATCCTGTGAGGTTGTTTTGCCGAGTATTGTGTTTTACTACTGCTCCACTGTCTGGTCCCAAGCATGCATTCACATGTTTTGTTTGTTTGTTTGTTCCTTTAGTTTTTTAAGTTTTTTTTTGCTGTAGGGCATGTGTACATGCAGGAGAGATACCAGAGAGAGGGGGAAAGTGAGAAATCACTTCCCAGGGAGATGTCCAAATAGTAATCCCCTCTCATCTTGAGATTTGTGGTATACAGGTACAAAGCCTAGTGTGGCCACGGAGTCAGGACTTGAACCCACAGTCAGCCATATGTGATCCAGCACCCTTAACCACCATACCACCTGCTAGCCCCCCTCCAAGCATATACATTCTTATATTCAGAAAGTTTAGTTCCAGAGGAAGTAAAAAATGTGAGGTAGATTGAGATCAGTGACAAATAGTTAATGCTCCTTGAACATTTAATTAATGTGTAAAGATAAACTGCTCTAAGAAATGTATGAGTAGTTCTAATAGTTCATGAAGGAAACTTGTTCCCAGCTTTCTAGAGGAAATGGGGTATGATGAATGTGGCATCTTGAACCTTCAGGAGTTAGCTGGGTCTGTAAGTGTATTTAGAGGTGAAGCAAAGAGATGGAAAGCAGAGGTCTAAGCGACTCATTCATCTTGGGATATAAGATACGTGAGAAGTATTTTGGAAAGATAGACTTTTCCCAGAGTTTAGAGACTCTTACTGGACTCGAAAAAGTTAAAAAAGAATGTACAGCAGCAGGATAATGTAGGGTAGACAAGGGGAGTTGGAGCAGTGTAATTAGTAAGGATCTAAATTAGGATAGTGGACATGGGGATTTTTGAGACACTTTCCTCAGTCATCTCGAGTGATAGTTACTAACCAAGTGGTAACATCTTTAGTTAGAAGGCTGGGTGAATAACAGGCCTGAGGTGAACTAAGCTCTGATTTTGATCTGATACAGCGCATGTGCGCGCACGCTTGCTCACACCATCATGAGCCCTTAGCGTTTGCATTAGCAGATTTCTTCATCTGAAACTTCCTGAATAAAGCCCTTTTAAATAAGGTGGTTGATAGCATTTGAGTGGCTTTCCAGTTTAACCAATTAGTCCTCCTTTCATGCCTCTCTTTCTCTCTATTTATTTATGAGATTTTAGCTATAGGGCATGTGCATTCGCCAGAGAGACAGAGCGAGAGAAAGTGAGAAATCACCCCCCACATAGTTGACCGTGGTTCGTGTCCCGGACCCGGTGGCTTAAAACTCACGCCGGACGCATGTGCGCGCGTGCCCAAGATCCCGAGAGGAGAATGGAGCAGAAGGGATTGTTGTGTGGACCATCCCCTCTGGGGGGTGATTTCTCGCTTTCTGTCTCTATGTCTCTCTCTGATTGGCAAGCGCACACGCCCTATAGCGAAAACCTCTCCAAAAAAAAAAAGTATGGTCAAATACGGTAGTATTTCTCTAAACAACAACAAAATTACTTCATTCTTTTATTCAAGTATTTTTTGTTTTTATTTTTGTTTCTGATTTTATAAGCCAAGAGGGCATGTGCACTTGCCAAAGAGAGAAAGAGAAAGCAATCTCCAGTGGGGCATGGTTCGTAATCTCTTGTCCATTTTTTGTCCTGTTGGGATTTTGGAGTGCATGTGTGTATGTACACATAAA